TGATGGTCAAACTGCTTGTGAGCTGAGCACGAAGATACAAAATTTGTGAAGCAGTCGAATGACGATAGCATGAACTCTCGAAGACTATTGAGCCCAAAATCATAACTCCAATTTTGAAATCGATGACAAGAAGATTTGTGTTTTAAGCCATGTACAATTCTAAATGTTTTGTTCTCCAGGAAACAGAGAAAATATAATATATTTTGATTCCTCATACTTTATTGTCTCATTTTTCAGTAAGTTATTATCTAATTGTAGCTTGTTCCCAATAATTTATTAGATGCGGATACAGCAAAATATTCTGATTTTCTGCCCAATAAAGTTGAAGATGGCTTATATCAGAAATAGTTGTATCCAGTGGCTGGACAATATGGTAAAATATTGGGAATGTCGTAGACAAGATTGCTCGGAAATTCCAAACATTGGAACTTTTATACTAAATGTCTGACCTGTATTGGTTGGACACTGGTAGTTCACACTTAACAGGCAAAGATAGAATCCAATGGCAGCTGCAATAACAATCCCAATAGTTTCTCAGTCCCTGGTAGCCACATTTTATTGGTAGCCTACTTTCCCAATAAAATATCCTATACTGATACAGCCATACACTGATTATTTTTACCTCTATTATTTGCCTAAATTTGGTTAGCATATATGACTTTATCTGGTGTTTCAATCATAAATGACACGTAAAAAAAAAAAGAACATGAAGCATTGACACATAAAAAACAGAACACGAAACATTGAGAGAGAAATAAAGGATGATCATCCAACATTAAACAAACCAACAGAGAAAAATAACATAAAAACAAACAACAGAAAAACCACAGCAGGTACCACAGACAAATCCTAGACCCCATAACCGCTTATATATGGAGAACAAATAAAAGTAGCTCGAGCAAATTTTACTGATCAACAAACGGACATGAGTAGATGATTGTCAAGCTAAGGCTGGCAGCTTCCCTGGAGTGGACATGATCAGTCTTGCTCAATTTGTAGGTACAAAAGTGTCGAAAAGGTGATGTTCAAAAGAAAATCTAGTAATACTTCTGGAAGCTGCGCGCTAAGATGTAGTCTATTGGAGGGTATTCTAGTGCTTTTTGTAGATTTGCGTTCGATTTTGTTTCAGCTTCTCGAGGCGAGGACAGCATGATCTGATTTTTACAACATCTATATTTGTAGCATTCCTCCGAATATCTACTGACAACGATCTTAGATAGTTAAATGTGAATGGTGGTTGGAAGATTGCCATGAACTCATCGAGCCTGCTGTCATCAGGTATTTATATTACTAATTTTCTGAGATTGGGCAGTGTGGTCAGATCCTTCACATCTGCTATCTCTGCTGGAAAGTTTTTTAAGGTCTGCAGGTCATTGAGATTAGCAAACCGTAACTTCCTGGTACGCTTACCATATTCCATTGGAAGATACAAATGCCTCAATCTTTTCATCTTCCAAATCACATCTGGAATTAGTTCTGCTGAATTGTTTGGATCTATGTATAGGGCCAACAAGAATCTCCAGTTGCCTATAGATGATGAAAGCACACCTGTCCAAGCAGAATTTACAGTCAAAAGCCTTAAATGGATCAAATTCCCTATTCCTTTTGGTATTGCAAATCCTCGAATATCTTCAAGATCTAGGACTCTAAGAAACTTGAACCTGCTGACTATGGATTCAATCAGCTCCTGACCTATTGCACTCTGTATGTTGTTGCTGAATCCCAATGCAGACCTAACTGGAGGACATTCTTCATTTCCCAAAGAGATAAACCCGCTAAATTTTTTGAAATAAATGGAAATTCTGCGGATTCTACCTATTGAATTTGGTCTATTAATCATTGGCGAAGAGAACAACTCCATTTTCCTGTTACTGTCACGAAGTTCTATGATTTGGAAGAAATCATTCTGCCCAGCCTTTGTCAAACATAGTTCTCGTATAAGATCATGCATGCGGCAACTTTTAATCCTTCCGGTTGAACTTCTTTTCTCCACTTGAACCAAATACCTTTCTGCCAACGTTGTCAAGTAACGATATGCTACATCCTCTAATGTTTCCTCGTTCTCTCTTTCATTTGATGATTCAGATGGTATCATGGCTTCTGCAACCCACAGATTGATTAGTCTCCGTGTAGGCATTACAAAATCCTCTGGAAATTGGCCTAAATGAAGGAAGCATGGTTTCAACTGATATGGCAAATCATCGTAACTTAGTGCTAACGCCTCCGTAACTCCCAACTCAGTACTTCTTTGGTCACCGTTGATTGTTTTCAAGTGTGATTTGATAGTTTTATGTACTGTCTCCCATTCATCAATGAAACGTTTTGTTGCCAAAACACCTCCAAGCACAATAATGGCCAGCGGCAGACCACGACAATGTGTTACCATTTGTTTCCCAAGTTTTTCCATGCGTTCCACTGTTATGAAAGGATTTTCAGAATTTTTTGCCCTTGTAGCTGGTGGGTGATCTACAATACAACAAAGATAAACTATAAGCACAAATATACGTACTAGGGATAATAATAGCACTCCTTGTTGTTATGAGTTGTATATTTGATTAGAAGATTTATTATTTAATTTGTATAGTTGACCTATTAGGGACGAAGGGGCTGTTTGATACGTAGGCTTGCCTTGGACTAAATTTAGTTCCATGTTTGTTTCATCTGATCCTAGTCTAAATGGGATTGCTAATACCGGGCCCACCAAAAACACCTAAGGAGGTAGAAAAACTTGTATGAAACGGGGATAACACTATTTTGCTATCCCCAACCAATCATAGATTGCCATGTGGAAATGTTATCACATGTTGTATGTCGTGATTGATATTGGGGATAACAAAATAGTGTTATCCCCATTATTCCCATTGCACTCAAGTGTTTCTGGTTAGGATAGCAAAATAGTGCTATCTTCCCATGTGGAAGGGGAGGATTACCTAGTCTCAAGCTCACCAGTGTATAAGATGCATATATATATTTTTATTATAATAATAGTAACATATTATTATTATAATATACCCATATATATTATAGACATATATAGTACAATATACATATATATATATAATATGCATTTGCATGGTAAATGTATTTGGTTTAAGTATAGAACAATTTAATGTTAAATGTAATGATTTGCATGGCTCTTACAAATATTGCTAGTTTGTTTCTCAAAGAATGTGTTGGTATTTTTAAATTTTCCAAAGTAACCTTTTTGTTGTCTATTCTCTCAAAGTTCAGTATCATCTTGATGAGACCCCAAAAACTCTAAAGTTGTTTCCAATTCCACTTGATTTGGATGGTGCTGCTATGCACTATGTGTTGTGCGAAAGCACTCCAAGACCTTGTTGTTAATGGACTATGCAACTACCACACAAGAGCCACACAAAGATAAAATGCAAACATGAACCGAAAAGCAAACAAACACACAAAGAACACAAGAATTTATAGAGGTTCGGCGTTGTGCCTACGTCCTCTTGGTGATCCCCAAGAAATTCACTTGTAAGAAAGAACCCCTTTGGTTACAATGAAGACCCCCATTTGCTCTCTCTCAAACTCTAGCTCTCTTTTCTCTCAGCCTTGGCTCAAACCCAATTTGATGCCATAGTTTTCTCACTTTATGAAAACCTAGTGCTAAAATGCCTATTTATAGTTCATAGGATTTAAGTATAAACCTAATAGGAACAGAAGTCTTAACCTAGCCCAAATAGGCTAACAAAATACCCAAAACCCTGGTAAATAACCAAAACACGCCGGGAGACAAAAGATGTGGAACTGGCGACCGGTCTCTTCTTGCTCCTCCTTCCTATTCCGCACCGTTTTAAGCCGAGCCAACTTCAACGATCTACTTAGGTTATCTCATGATGGAAGCAACTTATGGTTTGACACTAAAGTGGTTATGTGTTGAAATTGGAAAGGTTTTGGACCCAGCTGATAAATCCCATGAAGGTACACACAGTTGACAAGGCTAGTGTTATTTCATCTTTGCTAGATTTCAGTCCACAATTGTCAACTTCCATTTTTGTGTGATGCATTTGAATTTGAATGATTGTCATGCAAAAGTAGTGATCTTGACTAGAGAGTTTTCCAAAGGCTTTTGTGTGGATGAGCTGGGCTAGATTAGTGTCATGGTTGATTTAGTTTAGAGATGATGGATCACACATAAAAGCTGTCAACTGTTCATTGAAAGTAGTATAAAAATAATGTTTGCGAATTTCTGAAGTACAGATATGACCTCATTCACAATTTTCCTTTTTTCCCACGCACAAGTGGAAAGAGGAGCTTATTCCTTCGCTGATGACGTTGCTTTTTCTTTCTTTGTTTTGTTATTTTTATTGTTGTGCTGAGGCAATAAATATTGTCCAATTTTATAATTTTAAATTTGTTATTATTTCTTGAAATGCTACAGATTTTGTGAAAGGCGAAAAAATGTAACAGTTTTTATATGCACAGGAGATGAATACAATCTATTAGTAAAATTTAAATGACAATCTAACAATCATGAAGCATGATGGAGCTAGGATGATGAGATGTTGGCGTTACCTCCATAAGCTTGCACTCTTTGAAAAATTGCTACCTTATGAAACAGATCCCAGCTATCTTCATCATTTAGACACGATGGTTCATAGAGGAAACCTCTCGGATCTGCTCGATATGCTACGCCTTTGTTGCGCGATGTAAGTAGCACTTTGGTTTCTGTGTCCTCTTGAGTTGGAAACCCTGCACTTAGCAATGACCACGCATTCGCATCCCATATATCATCAAGAACCACCAAGCTTCTCATCTTTTGAAGTAGCACAAAAAGTTCTTTAGCTACCTCATCATCTTTCATCTTTGCGATCTTCTCTCTCTCCTTTTCTCCAGGGGACGTAAGTTTAAACAGAATTTGCTCCCAAATGTCTCTTGTTTGATATTGTTGAGATACGCACACCCAAATGAAGTGAGAAAAATGATCCCTAACTTCATCATGATGGTAAACCTTCCTAGCCAGAGTGGTCTTGCCCAACCCTCCCATTCCACATATTGAAACCACTCGACTGCCGGAGTTTCCTGGTTTCACAAGCTCAGTCGCTAATGTCTGGGCAGATTCCACCAAACCAACAACATTATGGTTGACGGAGTAAGAGCGAGTGCGGCGTAAGTTGGTCACAACCCTGTCAGAATAGCTCGGCCCCTCTTCTTCCTTCAATCTCCTTATGCCATATGTTTCTAGGTTCACCCTCAGTTGAGAGATGCGGCCCTTGATCTCCTCAATCTTTGACCCAACGTTGTGCAGCATTTTTACTTTTCTGCCGTATTTAAAAAATCTGTAAGACATACAGATCTTGTTCCTCCTACGGTTGCGTTCGGATTCTATTTTGTGAGCAAATTTATCGATGACATCTTCCGCGTCATAAGCAGCATCTCTGATTTGTGCAACGAACTCTCGTACAGATGCTTCTTTTTCTTGTCTTGAATCTGCATCTCTTAGGAAGCTGCGCATAATCTGTAGCTCTTGCTGCAACAGCCTAACTTGGTTGGGGACCTGGATCAAGGAGTTGACTTCTTCTGTGAGCAAATCACCGAGCCTTTGCAAAAGAAAAGAGACGACGTTCTCAGCCATTTCACTATTCGCTCAAAGCAATACCACTCGAGGCTTTGTTCTCTCTTTAGCTCAACTACCTACTAAAAATGTTGCAATTTGAGTGTTAGTTGAAGTGTGAAGGGGTTGATGGATAATTAGAACAAAGATTATGTTTTTTTTAGCAGAGAACAAAGGTCTTTATGATCATGAGCAATGTTATTCACAATCGCTCAAAAGCTATTCTCACCTAGACACGTATACATGCGTTCTCAATGTATTTCTTCTTTTATTTTTATAATTTTTTTTAATGGAGATAAGGAAATAAAGAGGAAGAAGAAGAAGAAAGAGAAAGAAAGAGATGGAGACAAACAAAGATTTCTCCATTGGGAACGCGTGTACACGTGTCTAGCAAGTATAGTGAGAATCGCTTTTGAGGGATTGTGAATAGCATGGCTCTTATAGGAAGCAAAGGAAGCTGTTGCTTGTGGTATGTGGTTTCTTTGATTATAAACATACCCTGTAAAATTATGTGGAGCCCAAAACAGAGAGTTCACAAATGAGAGACAAGTGAAAAGAAAGATAAAGACGCCAATGGGTTCTACCACAGTTGTGGTGGATTCCTCCTGGGCCCATGGCACTCAGGTTCGAAACTCCAAAGGATTTCTTTCCTCTAATATAACAAAAAAAACAAAAACAAAAAAAAAAAAGATGAAGGCTTTCGATGCATGCATTATTCACGGGTGTGCAATTTCCTGGCAGATGGAGGTATAAAGCAACATTTACATACACCTCCTCCAATGGGATGGATGCATGTAAATGTGAGGGTATAAATTTGCATACATTTATATAAATTAGTTTTTGTGTTTTTATTTTTTAGTGTGATGTTAATTTTTTTCCAAACAAATCGATATAATTTTTTTTAACATTTCGTGAAGATATGATTTTATCTAATATAAATCGTTGGTTTTGTTAAAAAAAATAAAGCTTTGTTTACACCCAAAATGAACATCCAATGAGAACAAGACACGTGGAAGAAATCGTAGTTTTCGAGTTGGTCCCCATATGTTTGGGATAAAGGGTCGATTTGTTTATCGTTTCCCACAGACGGCACTAAACTGTTGACGCCAAAAAGTGGTTCTATGACTTAGAGGGTCAACTTAGTAATTTTATACCTTCGGTATCCTCAATGCCTCGGTAGGGAGCGTGATCTGCAATATGAGCAAACGCTCGGTAAGATCGAAGGCACCGGTGTGGTACCGACCGAAGGCTCTCCGATGCTTAAGTAAGTTTGGGATTAGAAAGTTCAACTGATAGATCAATAGGCTTGTATGCCGTAAGTTCTGATTACCTCCATTTTGGGGTGGTCGGCCTCTTTTATAGGCATTGGGAGGTGTGCACTTTGTTGATAATTTCAATGTGGGACTGTGGACGTCGCTTGGGAGCATGCCACGTGTCCCAGGAGAGGGCGTTGCCCTAATGGAGCGATCGAAAGGTAGGATGCTGAAGGCATCTCTGACCAGGCACGATTTCTTCCACGTGTCTTGTTCTCATTGGATGTTCATTTTGGGTGTAAACAAAGCTTTATTTTTTTTTTTAACAAAACCAACGATTTATATTAGATAAGGTGGACGAAACACAACAGCTGCTGAACCAGCAGCAAACGCAAAACATCCAGACCGATCGATCCTCCGAGAGCCTACACTCCCCGTCGGCAGAGGAAGGGTAAAAAGGTGGTCGAGGCTGCGCCTGCACCATCTAAACCCTTGGTAGTCCCGGCACCAAAAAATAAGCCTCATGTGCCGAAGAAAGTTTATTCCGATTGTCGCCATAGGCTATTGGATCGGGAGGCCGAACGACAAACCGAACGACAGGGGTCGCCGATCAGGATAAAGGCGCGCCTGGATGACCCCCGGCTGAAAAGTCTGGGAAGGAGGTCGCCGATACGGAGGATACAAGTCTTGGAATCAACGGCAGAGTCCGACCAAGAATACACCCCTTCCACGAATCGGTCATCATCCTACTGTTCGGCAACGCCAACAAAGTTCTCTCGGCTGAAATAGCAGCAAACGCAAAACATTTAGACCGATCGAACGTCCGAGAGCCTACAGACTCCCCGTCGGCAGAGGAAGGGCAAGAAGGCGGCAAAGGCAACGCCTGCGCCATCTAAACATTTGGTAGTCCCGGCACCAAAGAATAACCCTCATTCGCCTTCTCCTTCAGAGGGTACAGAAAATGGAGGACGATCGGACTCGCTCGCAAGAGCCAGATTGGGGAAGGCTTCGGCTAGGACCCTTCATCGAGCGCATAAGGCACTCACGGCAGGATAGGGACGTATAGCCCCTACGCATAACCCCTTACACAGGAGTGGAGGACCCCCTGACGCACCTCCACTCTTTCCAATCAGCTGTAGGGTGCCGAGGGCTAAGTGACGAAGGACTGTGCCTATTGTTCCCCTCTTCACTCACAGAGGCGGCTCTGAATTGGTTCTACCGTTTGGAACCAGGGACGGTCGATTCCTTCGACGAGCTGAAGCAGATTTTCCTGAACCATTTCATGATCCAAACGGACAGACTGTACTCTGCCGACGACCTATACACCATCCGGCAAAGGGATGACGAACCATTGCGTGAATATGCCGCACGGTTTAGCCATGAATACTCGAGGTGTCCGGATACCGATGATAGGGCAGCCTACGGCACCTTCAAGAGTGGCCTACGGTCCTCACACTTTCGGTATCTGGTACACAGCAGCAATTGGCGTACGACGATGAACTCATGAAGCAAGCGGTAATCCATGCCAAAGCCGAATACTTCAATTCGAGGGCCGAGCCCACGACTCGGCAGAACGAACCCATACAGCGGTCCTCCACGGCACAAGCATCGCCGTTCGCGCCAGCGACACAAACTGCCGAATACACTGAGAGCCACAAGCGCAAAGATGCCGGAAGCTCCCAAAAGGGGCATTCCAAGAAAAACAAGAGCAGGTACGGCAGGGACTGTTACCGAGCGCCGTTACCAGCGCAAAACCAGGGGACGGAGGTGTTCACCTTGCTCAAAACTTCCTACGAAGTGGTGCTGATGAACGAATATGAGATAATCCCGAAGCCCGCCTTCCGGAAGCCTAGTCGGTAGGATGGCCGGGATACAGGGAAATTCTGCCGATACCACCAGCAAAACAGCCACAATACCGAGGACTGTATAAGTTTGCGAAAAATCGTCGAGCGGTTAATTCGGGAAGGCAAACTGGATCAGTACATAGCCAGGCCGCAGCAGGCGCCAGCGCCGAACGCCAATCGGCAAATCAATATGATCAGCACGATCAGTGGAGGACCAACCCTGGCCGGGGCATCCAACCGGTCTGTGAGGCAGTATGTCAGGGCAGCACAGTACCCCCAAGTCCTCGGCATTGAGAGCAGCCGGCACACCAAGATGCCGAAGGTCAGATGGGAGCCCATCACCTTCTCCGAGGAGGAAGAGGAAGGAATCATCTACCCACATGACGACCACATGATCATCCAGGCAGAGATTGCCGAATTCGGTGTCGGACGAATTCTGATCGACATTGGGAGTTCGGTAAACGTCATCTTCGCCGATGCATTTAAAGAACTCGGAATATATGACAGCCAGGTCAACCGACAACTTTCGCCTCTCCTTAGCTTTTCCGGAGACTTGGTCCAGCCAATCGGCAGTGTCAACCTGCCGATCGCCTTCAGCATAGCCCCACGAAGGACTATGGTCTACAACCAGTTCCTTGTGGTGGACTGTCCGACGACATACAACGTTATTGTCGGCCGAACGGCACTCACGGCGATAAAGGCCCGCTTGTCCCCCCACATGCTACTCATGAAGTTCCCAACTTGCTACGGTACGGGGGCAATCAGGGGCGATCAGCCGAACGGTAATGAACCAGTGGATGATCCAAGGGAAGAAACGCCTACTCCGATGGCACAACCTGCCGAAGATCTCGAAACCGTGGCGCTAGACGAGGGTCAGCCAGACCAGTGCGTACGAATCGGTACCATGCTAAACGCCACCCTCCGCGCTGAATTCATCCAGTTCCTTCGGCAAAACTCGGAAGTCTTTGCCTGGTCTTACAACGACATGCCGGGCATATCCCCTGATATCATCAGCCACAAGCTGAGCATCTCACCGGCATTCAAACCGGTCAGGTAAAAGCGCCGATCCTATGATGCCGAACGGTATGAAGCCATGAAGAACGAAGTGGACAAACTCATGACATAACGTAATGCCGTTTGGCTTGAAGAATGCGGGGGCAACCTACCAGAGACTGGTCAACCAAATCTTCACTGAGCAGATCGGCAGTACGATGGAGGTCTATGTGGATGACATGCTAGTAAAGAGCCGAATGGCAGGGGAACATCTGGTGAACCTATCCCTCATGTTCGGCATCTTGAAGGATTACCGAATGAGACTCAACCCAACAAAGTGCGCCTTTGGCGTATCTTCGGGAAGATTCCTCGGTTTCATGATCAGCCAAAGGGGTATCGAGGCAAACCCCGATAAAATCAGGGCCATAATCGACATGGAGGTGCCGAAGACACAGAAGGACATCTAGAGCCTTACCGGACGAGTAGCAGCCCTCACTCGCTTCATCTCCAAAGCCATAGACAAGTGCGCACCGTTCTTCAAAGCCTTGAAAGGGGGCAAACGTCATATAGAATGGACTGCCGAATGCGATAAGGTGTTTCAAGACTTGAAGGACTACATGGGCAGAGCGCCACAACTTTCCAAACCTCTCCCAGGGGAAATTCTCTCTCTGTATCTATCGGTATCCAACACTGCCGTCAGCTCAGTATTAATACGGATACCAGAGAAGGCAGAGCTACCGATTTTTTACGTCAGCAAAGCCCTATAGGGGGCAGAGTCTCGGTACCCTCCACTCGAGC